TTCCTGGGCTGAACTGGGGATCGGGAGCCCTTCCTAGGCTCGGCGGGGGATCTGGAGCCCTCCGTGGGCTATGCTTCGGGGCCTGGGCTGACACTGGAACGAACTCTGGGGCCATAGCCGACACCCTTCTCCTCACCCCTAGCATCCTCTTCTGGATCGGGGGGAAAAGGCGTGGTCGGCGAACTGGAGTGTTAAACGCTGGCGGGCTTGCCACATTAATGTCCGGTGGACTTGCCATATGCGTGGCCAGTGGGCTGGAGATAGCCCTGGCTGGCAGGCCTGCCATCGGCCTGGTCAGCGGGCTGGAGATAGCCCCGGCTGGCAGGCTTGACAGAGAAACCACCGGCGGGCTTGCCACATTAATGTGCGGCGGGCTTGCCATATGCGGGGCCGGCAAACTTGACTTGGGGCGGCTGGCAAGCTTAACATCTGGGCGGTCGGTAGGCTAGTCTTTGGCATGGCCGGCAGCTGGAGAGAGCCACGGCCGGCTGCCTTGACTACGGCGCGGCCAGCACACTTCGGTGCGGCAGGCAAACTTGACTCAGGCAGGCGGACTTTGTCTTCGGCACGGCCAGCGGGCTGGGGAATAGCGCGTCCAGCACACTTTGGTGCGGCCGGCAAACTTGACTCAGGCAGGCGGACTTTGTCTTAGGCACGGCCAGCGGGCTGGGGAATAGCCGCGGCTGGCGGGCATGACAACGGCGCGGCCGGCACGCTTCACAGCTCGGCGGTCTTCTTACCACGGGGACAAACGGGAGAAAAAGGAAAACAAAAGACAGTACAAAAACGAAAATAAAACACGGGAGAAGGAGCGCTGCTTACTGTTTTGGGTCAGTCGTTCTGTCACGGTTCACACACACGAGGAACACGGGAACGGAGGAGTGAGGAGACACGGAGTAAAGTAACTCAAAAGGCTTTATTGAACAACGGCTTGGGATCACAGGACTCGACACATCAGGATGACGTTTAACGACTGACAAAGGACAAGAACTAGAACACACTTTAAATACACAGGAACTGATGAGGGGAAGACAAGGGACACCTGGAACTAATAAGACAATCAACATAGGAAACACCTGGGAACAAAGAATTCAAAACACGAGACAGAGAAACTGGAAGACGGAGCACATAGGGAGCAAAGACACACACAAAACCTGGCAAGCATTCACCAACATATAAATTATCTTGACTAAAACTACATGCTACAAAATCATTGTTAAAAATATTTACAGTGATGACTACTGTATGAATAAAAACAGTATTATATAGCTAACACATTACACTGAATAACTGTAATATTATTCAAATTTAAAATCTGAAATATAGATTCAGTGTTAACTATTTTTGCTGTGCACAACACCAAAGCGAATATAAAGCAAATATAAAAATCTAAATGACTATTTGAAACATTTACAAACTGTTCAGAAAGCAGCAGCTGCTTTGTTTACGTGGTTACCGGGGTAGCAGATTAATTTTTTAGTTCAATCAGCGCCCTCTACTGTCTTGCATTTTCATTCAAAGTGGACTAATTCGTGTTTCTAGTACGTTATTTAAATTAATAACGTTCATTTAAAACTGTGGTGAGAACTAATCAATGCTGAAATAGGGGGTCATGACCCTTTAACCCCTTACTGCTGACTCCTACTTTAACGTCTAAAAGCCAACCGTACATAGATTTATCTAAAGGTTACCTTTCTCACCGCTCATGCTTCTGATGCATCCTAAAGGCAACTATGGAACAACAAGGTAACTTAACATAACAATACCACATTTCATACAGCCTCTCTGAAAATATCATACTGTTCCTCTCATATAACCTTCTCTGTCTCTCTATAGAAGAAACACCAATAACATCTACAATCAACAAAAGAACTTTCCACGTACCCCAAGTTAAGCAATACATATTTGCACTAGTAACATCAGGGCTCTACTCTTACTTTTATTTTTAGGAGCACTTGTGGGAGAAAAAAATCACCTTCTGATCAATAACAAAAATTAGCCTTCCCATTACAAGATAATATTTGACTCCTTCAAGTCATTTACAGGAGCATTTTTAAAACTTTCTAATGGCATATGATTGAAAGGATGTCATCTTGTGTCAAAATCAAAAGTGTATATTTATAAGCTTTTTTCAAATTTTCTAATTAAAACAATAGAATAAGAATAAGTTAGGCTACTGATCAAAAACAATCAGTATTAACAAAATTCATTTGCACAGAAGTGCATGGCATGGAAGAACACAAAAGTGGCTTACAGGTATATTTACAGACATTTAATGAGGCTCAGTGGTGGTAGGAGTGCAATTAAATTCATAAATTCATGTTGAGATTAATATTTTAAATATAAAAATTTTAATATAAAAATATTAAATGATTTAAATAACTTAAATGATACTTTAAAAATTAAAAGTCACTGTTTTATTACTGAATCATTCATTCAATTGATTCGTTCAAACGACTGATTCATTCAGGAACAAAGCAAGTGATTGTCTTTATGAACGGGTAGTTGAATTAGCCTTTTTCACACGCAACCGGAAACTACGTCACGCAGGGTAAACTTATTTCCGCCACAGCTGAAACTACGGCGTTTCCATAACATGGAGCGTTATTTCACTGCTTCTCTCTCAACGCTGCCGCGACTCAGGTTCGAGGATGTTGAAAGAATAGTTGGACGGCATTCAACAACTAAAGTAGTAAGGCTGATTAAGGGCTATAAATTCTTTGTTGAGGAGTTTATACACAATTATCAAGGTAAGTTGACAACTACCTGCGTTAAATATGAATGCTAACCATTTCGTATGTGTTCAGTTTCAAATGTTGTTGATCGGAAGGTGGTAGTGAGAGCTAGGTGTTATCGTTCTATGAGGAAAAATGAGGAGCCCCACACACTTGAGGTTATATGTAACTAATATGCCTGTTGGCTTATGAGTTCATCAGATCAGCTATTATTGTTCTGATAGCAAGTTACTCCAGTTAGTTAAAATAAATGCAGTTGCAGATTTTAATTTCCCTTCGTAACGTTTTATTATTATTATTTTGTTGTTTTTGTTTTTAGTTAAGTCTCTTTTAAATCTTCTGCGGGTTGAAGACTATATCTATATTTCTTGCTTTTGCTGCTGTTTGCAGTTTTCAGTCCCACCACCACTGGCCTGCACAAGTGAGCCACAGAGATGGCATCGTACAAGAACACAGGCATGTATTTTTCTTTTCTGCACTTGGGAAGAACACTATTAACTCAAAGAAAGTATATGTCATCATTAAAATATTATAGACTAATAATGAACAAGAGTGCAGATTAAGTAACAAATATATAAATGAAGATCACCCAAGATCAATAAACAACTGTTAACTATAACTGTTCATTTTAACACTGCATTTGTTTGTTTTATTCAAAGGGAGTACATCCAGAGGCAGTGAGTGAACTTCGTGTCCTGAAACCAAAACCCTATACAAGGCTTACACAGGTAATTCAAGTACCCTGAAACCAAAATCAGTTACTTCGTGTCCTGAAACCAAAACCCTATACAAGGCTTACACAGGTAATTCACAACTCTGTGTGTGTTTGTTTGTTTATTTTTGTGTTTGTTTGTGTGTGTGTGTGTGTGTGCGCGCACATCTACATCTTTGTGTCTTTGTGTGTGATTATGTGTGTT